ACGTTTCACTTACTTATCACACAGCTTAACCAGCTAGTATTTCTGTCTAATCGTGCACATCCCTACTTTAAACTCAACCAGACTTTATCAGCCACACCGGGTGAATTTCACTGTATTCTGCAAAACATTAAACATTATCATGGACATATATGAAGTCAAGGTCATGCCTCTGATTCTGGTTAAAACATCAAAAACACACGCTGTTTTAATGCGTTTCTCATGTGGGAAAGTTCACGTAAATATCAAACGTCTCCTTCAGCTTATCCCGTTCTGCTTTTGCACTTACAGTTACATCATTGTTGTTTCTTGAAGTTTCATGGGACGAGGCCGGGTGATGTGAGTTAATTAAGTCCAGGACTTCCCCCAGGACATTTATAAGTAGATGGCAGACTAAACAATAACCACGCCCGTTCAATAAAAGAAATGTTCTGTGTGAGAGAGCAGCTCAGCTTCTCTAATAATTAATGGGCGGGGGGGAGGTTATTGCATTTTTATGATTTCAGTGATCTTTGTTTCAGGGAATCTGTTAGAAAATGCAGTGGGAACAACATTTTTCTTCACAGGTTTCAACTGAAGATTATATCTGAAACGTCTCTCCCAACACTCACTGTAATATTCACTCAGCAGTTAGTATTACAGCTGACTTGGACGCACTGTATCGACCTAGAATGGTACAAATATAAATAAAATATAAAAATAATATATTAACTTTTGATTTGACTGAGATACTAATAATGCTTTGCAACCATTACGTAAATGCCTGAGTTATTTTCAATCAGGGTTGACCATTTTTCAGACTTCAAGCTGATCAAACCAGTTTCTGTGCATTCTTGTGGGGTTAGTCCACTCATTTGCCAGTCAAATATTTTTGGTCCGGTTTATGACATCCTGCCGGCTGAGTCTAAACATAACACAGACGCAAGTTCACTCTGATCAAATGCAGTATCAAAAAAACTCACAAAGAAATACGCAAGAACAGCAAGCCAAGACTGAATATGCTGCATAATGTGATCAAATTATGATCACAAAGTCTGCTTCTGAGCTTTGGTTTGCTATTTCATATAGTTTGATTGTATTAGGTAAACGTCGCCTGAGAGGCTCAGCAGGTACCCCCGTCCTGGTCCTCAGTAATAGGAAGTTTGTGTTTCTGTCTGTATTAAGTTTTATATTGTTATTTTTTTCTTTATAGGCTTTTAATTAGGCTGGTCTGCGGCCCTTGCTGCATGTCGTCCACTCCCTCCTATGACTTCACCTTTCCTATCAAATAAAGGCATAAAAAGCCCCAAAATAGCTTTAAAAAAAATAATTTCATGTAGTTTTCTAAATGAAATGCTGAGATACAGGCTTACTGTGGTCGCACTGTGAAAGGTCCAGTAGGTATCAAAGTCTGTGTCTTCCCTCCAGGGTAGGCTAATGTGAGGTTATAGTTCGGCATTACACAGACGGCTAGTGGAGGTTAGGGTAATACTGGGTTGAGGTTAAGCGTCCCAAAAGATGGCTGCTTAAGGGTTAGCGCTAATGCCAGGCTCGTGTCAAATGGGATGGAAGGTAGAGATTAGAGTCCATGACTCTTTACGTGGTTGTAATAATGCAAAGTTGGCTGTGAGAGGGTTAAAAATACTGTGTCCAGTACAGCTTTTTGAACCCTGATTTGTCCACAGATGATTTGTCTCATGTACAAACTGTCAGGACATAGTGAAAATTTCAGCAAATATGACAAAAAGTAGTTTGTAAAAGTTACCTACTGCAGCTTTAGTTGGGTTATTTCTGACCTAAATGTTGACCTGAGCGCTCTGAAGAAAACTGGTATTTAAAGTAATTCCCACAGCGCGTAAACGTTGCATACGGTTGAGGTTAAAGTAACACAAATCCAGACTGAGACTGACAAAGTTCTGTAAATAACTTGGTCCAAATGTGCTCTGGAATGGGACACCGAAACCAGCACTATCTAGAGTCCATTTGGGACTAAGTTATTAATGGAGCTGTGTTTCCCCCATTGATCATCCCTAAAGGGCACATTTGTTATTGCGTCTCCATGGTCTTTTGCATCATGTGTGGTGGAAGTTTGACCGAATAAAGGAAAACCAACAAAGATAAATTTGTCTTTGTATATTTATTTAGCTTCTGCGCAGAAGGATCGAAACCAGCAAAGTGTCAGTCAGCGACTGTCGAGCAATCGATGCTGTGTGCATCGCTACCAGGGTTTTTATATGCATAAGAACAAAGAGTCAATGACCATAGAGAATAGAAAAGCTAAACATCAAAGGGAGATAAGGGCATTCCCAAGTGAAGACATGTTCCTGTCTCAGACCAAATTAGATAAAAGTTTAGATGTTCAGGCCAGGCTATATTTCACCCAGAGCAGAGCAGGCTATATTTCAACCTTACATTACACAGATGTCGTGTCTGTATTCAGTTAAAGTTCATTGTACAAGTCAGCAGGAACATGTGGTAGGCTGTGCATAATTTCAACCTATCGTCATGTATCACATATATAAATGTGGTCATTGTATTAAGACAGCCAGTTCATTTATAGTACAGCAGAAATGGAGCCAATCATGCTTTCTACAGAACAGTGTAACACAAAGGTTATTTACTAAATGATCTTTTTCCTCTACATCATGCAAACTTTCTGTTCCCAAAAATACCTTCTTTCTCCAGAACAGTGAGCTCAGAGCTAAAAACTAAAGTTAGCTCATCCACTTCCACATTGATGCAGCCTAGGCAAATGGAGTGGGCTGTGTCACTGTGAAATACTGTAAGCTGCAGTTAACACAAAGCATGTATTCAATGCCACCCAATTGTGCTACAACAGAAAAATATGGTTGTAAAAAAAAAACTAAAAAATGTGTTCCACTAACCAAAAACCAACCAAATAAAGTAAAAATTAAAGTCATTAGGCAAGATTCAAAAACTATTTTAAAACTTTAAATAAAATATCATAAAGTGTCCACAACACTAAATTACCTGCTCAGGTTAAAGCCTTTTTTTTTTTAAACAACGTTATTTAGAGGCTCCTATGTATGAAATGTATTGTTTTATTTATGTTATTATTGTTTATCACATCCTGACTGACAGACAAACAAACAGCACAATAACAACTGTGGCACTAACTTCTCTGACTGAAAAAAAGTAAGAAGTTGTCAGCGGCTGGCTGGCAGTGTTACTCACCGCCTCCTAAACCCAGCAGCCGGCAGATATCTCTGGTGAGCTTCATCAGGTTTTACCGTCCAGGATTACCGGGCCCCGGAGCTCTGTGCACTTTAAACTGTCACAACCGGACGAGACGACCACTCTCCGGGCTTCATTAGGGGCTGACACCTCGCCGGTGAGGCTGCCGATTCATGTGAAATCTCTCCCGTTGATCGTCCGCCGCTGCTCCGCCCGTCCAGTCACCAAGACACCTGCAGTCACTACACACCGCGACTTCCGGCGCTTACAACAATAAAACAATGACAAGCAGAATTTAAAGCACACAACTTCCGGTCACAATCACCACAATAAAACCATTTCAAGAAAAGGGTCATAAGTGGTCAGTGTTAGGCTAGTTACTCAAAAAAATTAAAGTAATATTATTACTTTACTTATTTCTCCCTGCTAACAGTGTTTAGTTACACTACTAGTTATATAAATGTTCTGCTCAGTTTTGTTAGTTAAAATCAAAGTATTATATATAGGTGAATATTTCCAACTGCTGAATGTAAGTGTTTCCATCTTCCAAACTATTTTCCTCCAAAATAATAAAAAAATAAAAATGTATTGATTGGATGATTTTTTGGGGAAGTAGCTGTAATATTGTTACTGAAATGTATCAGTAATTAGTTACTAGTTACTGGGGAAAGTAACATCATTACTAATAATTAGTTACTTCCCAACACTGTAACTGGTCATGGTTTAATATCAAATGATTTTAGAGATTAAATGCGGTTCAAAACATAACTCCCAATAAATCTCTCTCTCCCTTTTTTTTCTTTCTTTTTTTACATTCAAATTAAATTCAAAATGGGCTTTAGGAGCAAAGGAGCAAAACAAATAATTTACATAAAAAGAAATGCACAGTATATATACAGATAAGTAAAAATAGCAGTCCAGTTAGAAAAATATAAATACAAATAAGTGACTGAGATATATATTTAACAGTATTTGTTTTGTATATATAGTAAGTATGTCTGTGAACAGAGAATGCACAGTGCAGGTGTATACAGATCATTGATGGTGATTGCTTTCCATTGGACGAACCTCTCCACTCACAACACCTCACAAATGTCACTGCTGTGTTTGAGCAGTGTCGTATTTCACCCAGTAGAAAACGATCCAGTTCTGCCTTTTATTGATTGATTTACAGCAGTGGTTCCAGACCTTTTTCCTTAAGGGACCCTTTTTCTATCATTGCATAAACTAAACGACTTCGGATTAAGTGACGTATTTAATAGATATTTCATATTATATTTAATGAATAACAATAACAGTACAAAACAACTGATAAACTGTACAATGAACACAAATTGTGAACACAATAACCGCAGTGAACGAGTGAAGTTTTGAGCAGATTATTTCCTGTGAATCTGCATCAGAGATGAGTTTTTTATATTGTGTTTTTTATTGTCATTTTTAATCATCATACATAGGCTTATATCATATATTCTTAATAGGGTTTGATTTGATTCTGGCCTGCAGCCCTTTTTCTGTCCCCTCTTTCTCTCTTTCACCCCTTTCCTGCTTATCTTCAAACAAAGGCATAAAAAGCCCCAAAGATCCCCAGGTTGGGAACCACGGCTCTACTGCAGTTTTATTTTCTTTTATTACATTTGGAGCAACGTATTACTGCACTATTATTACACTGAAATGATGTTAAAGTCATTGATTGGTCTGTTTGTATTTAATTTAATTTAGGAGCTTATGTAACTGAAGATTCTTCTGAGTACTATGTAATTTGTTATAAATTCGTATTTATTATAGGAAAAATGGAGACAATGTTCAGCTGGTACACTTCCAATTCAATAATTCCAATTAATTTGAATTCATTAGTCAGTGTAGAGGCAGATACGCTTCATGCAAACATGCAATTCTATATGAAATGTTAACTTTCAAATAAGTCCTTTTCATGGGAATTCTTTTAGAAATCCACAAAGCTCAACTCTCTCAGAACTTTGTCTCTATTTTTCCCATAAGGCACAAATGGACCAGTGTAGCCAAGAAATGAGAAATATCCTGAGAACAACAGGCCGTAAGCCATCTGGTATTTCCTGGCAAGCTGACCTACTTAAAAACTGGAAAGCAGTGGTCTCTGGTCTGGGTGGAATGAATATTTGTGGGCATAGATAAGACCCTCGTGAATTGCAGGAAACTGCGTAAGGAATGTAGACTGCACCTTTGTCCACTGGGTGGTAATACTGCACCGCCTGTCACAAATCAAGGTCCAAATAAGGCTTGAGAAGTATTGTTACCAGTTAGCCTATAACTCAAAATGGTCAAATGAATGTATGCATATAAACATATAATCATTTATTCTTAAATCCATGTGTTTAAGAATAAAAAAGAAAGGAAGAAACATGTGTAAGCTTTTTATTATCATATGTGCATAAGAGATATGATGAGATGAGTTTGACACAGCAGAAGTGTAAAAGAAAATACAATACAGAACAATAAAATAAAATATATTATAAAGATAATAATAGAAAATAATAATATAATAATGAAAACTATATACACTATATTCCTATATATAGGATTATTTGTATTTCTTAATCATTTATATTTTGTATTGTTTGAGGTGTAGATATCAGAACATGAGTCAATGTATATACTGCTGATAGATTAAAGAGTTATTACCGGCTATTAAAAGAGAAATAATGTTATTAATAATTAACAAAAGAGAAACATTTGAACTGAGAATGCTTTATTATTTAGATTTTTATATATTGTCCTTTAAATTCCCGAGCTGAAAAACATTGACAGTATCAAACAAACAAAAAAATACACTTGCCTGCAGTGTGCTGGCACAGACATCCCTCCAATCAAGCTCACTGTAATACTGATAGACAGCCGGCTAAACCAATCAAAGAGCGCTGCCTCCTGCCTCTGGACCAATCACATGTCGCTTTGGCTTAAGGAGGCGGGGACATTGTGGAAGCGACGGGCTGGCTCAGCAGCCATTGATGCGCTTTATCTCCAAGAGGACAAACCGGCATTAATTGTTCCGTATCTGCGGCTCTCTGCGGACTGAAGCCATGGTGTCTCACTCTCTCGCCCTCCCGATGATCTGCTTCACCACGCTATGGGCGCTGGTGGGGGTCGTGGCTCCGTTTTTAGTGCCCAAAGGACCCAACCGGGGGTAGGTGCTGTGTCTGCTGTTAATTGGCTGCAATTAACGGCGATTATTTTATCCTTTTCTTTTCATAATCCTACACACAATAATCCAGGTAGAGATGCTGGGCCGTGTGTTATTGTTTACAGTCAGTGTTTCCTCCGTGCTCAGCTCTGTAGCATCTTCAGAAATAACACGAACTGCTCGCGTGATGGAGGCCCCGCGCGTCATCCTGCGTCCATCCCAGCATCCTTCCTTCACCTCCCCATTCATCTGTGCATTCATCCTTCACCTCCCATTCATCCGTGCATTCATCCCCGCACGGCTGTCAGGTTAAAGGGTCAGCACAGTAGTAAAGGAGAGATAAAGTGGGTGAATAATCTGATCATAGCTTTAATGTTGAGTGACTGTGATGCTGAGGCCATTACGGTGGCTCACAGTGGCCATGCCCCTCAAGCTACAACATACGAGGGAATTTATTTCATTATTTTATCAGAGCTGCTTTAACAGTACTCAAGTAGACCAGTTGTCACACAATGGTACATTTCTTACCCTGGAAGTGTTAGTAGTAGTAAACTAAAAAAAAACTGCATATTGCACCTCACTGAATTTATTTATATTGATCATTTTTATCTAAGGCTGCACAAATAATCGAAATATCATCAATATCGCAGTATGTTCAAGTGCAGCATGCAAATTGAAAGAGGTGTAATGTTTTGATAAAGGTTGTTCTATAGGAGTGGGTGATAATACTGATAAATTACCAGAGAAATCAACCACACAGAAGTATCAGTTTTTAGGCAAATTCAGTTAAGAAAATACCTGATAATTCAAGGAACTTCATCACATTCATGCAACAGTTTTCTAAATGCAATATTTCCAACAGTAAAATACAACCAGCCATAATAATACCATTGATACTATCTCTGACTGTCTGTACTGTCTGTAACTGTATCCTTATACCACCCAACCATCAGATATAGTTAAATTAGGTGTGGGACACGTAGCCTAAAGTAAGTAACTCTGTATTAGAACCAAATCATATGGAGGTATGATTAACATATTGAACTGTGTGTGTGTGTGTGTGTGTGTGTGTTTGGACAGAGCTGCATCAGTGTAACTCCCTCTCTCTTTTCTTTGACAGTGTGATTGTCACCAGTCTCATCCTTACGGCGGTCTGCTGTTACTTGTTGTAAGTACAAACTCTTCTCCTCCTCCTCCTCCTCCTCCTCCTCCTCTTCCTCTTTGGTGTACCTGCTGCTGACATGTTGTACATTGACTCTGCTATATTGACCTGCTGCCGTGATCACGCAGGCACAATGAAACTTTAAAACCTTGCTACTTAAAAATGTTGCAGTGCTTTCAGATAAAATGTCTTCCAGTGAGGCTGTTGTGTATTACAGTAAGTTTACTGTAGTTACAAACTCTGCTTCAGGCGGTTTCAGTGTCCTTCACTTAAAGATCGATAATTTTATGCATTATGAGCAAATCGGAGGGGAAGATCAATAACAAATCACAAGGCTTCAAAATAACTACAGCTGCACGATGTGTTTAAAATATCACATTGCGATTATTTTAACAGATATTGTGATTGATGATAACTATTAACTATTAAAATCATGACGATGTGATATTTTGGGGGGTTTGTAGCAAACAAACATGTTTTCTTAAATCTGGAGAAGATTTGTAGCCCAGAGCACCTCTGCAGCACTACAGTACTTCATTATAATGCTGTTTTATCACACATTTTTTACCTTTATCAGCCTTGTGATTTGCATATGGCACTTGGCCATATTTTGATTTCCTTGGTATTTCGATTAATTGTGCAGCCATAAAAAAAACCTCAGCGAAAACAGCTTTTAACTACTTAGCAACATGAGACGGAGACCTCAGAAAACAATTAGCATAATGTGTAATGGGTGATCATAATGGGTTTTTGCAAGAGAAAATGCTGCTGGGAGAGGAGGGCGAGAGAAGCCAGTTACTCAACTAATTAAGTCAATTGCGAAAGATCTGCAAGAATTCAGCCATTCATTCATTCAGGCTCTGCATACGACTCTTGCCAGCTAACAAGTGGCTCTTAAAAGAGACATGAAGGTTGAGAACTTTGACTGGATGCCATGTTCCAGCTACCACCTGCACACACCTGCATTCTGTCAGTTGGCCGGGCGGGGCGTTGGCTTCTACACAGCGTGTTTGCAGTCATGTGATTCGTATGAAATTGAGTTGGAGGGCAGGAAGTGAAAAGCAGAACAGATCTGTGCTGTGCTTGTTTAAACGATATTAGAGAGAAAGGTATAAACAGAAACCCGCAGCACGTGTTTGAGCTGATTCTTGTGTTGTGAAGACGTCTGATTGTTTGAATTAAAGACTTTCTTACTGACTGACTTATGAGAAAACTGGAGTTGTTATATGGCTCTCCTTAAAGCAACTTCACTGATCCGAACTAACGTGTTTAAACACCAAAGTCAGACAAGAACACTGTCCCACTGATCGAGTCTGCGGTAGACCAACAACTCCTGTGTTCTGAGAGGTAAAATGACAGTTTTTGTTAAAGGAGTCTGGTGGTTTTGAAGAGAGCATAGATGGATATAACAGCTTCAGTTCCCAGTCTGAAAGGGCTGTCTGACGGCAAGGTAAAGCAGTAAAAATATTCTAAATATAGCATACACTTAAATTGATATCAACTCTTTAAAATCTGCTACATTTTGCTGCTGCCCCATCCACAGAAGTACCATTTTCCCCTCCTATGAACAACAACTATTAGTACTCGATAAAAGCTTCTAGGTTTGATTTGAGCAACTTTAAATAACACAAAACAGGTATTTTGAGAGTTTGTGACCTGCAGTTTACGCTGTGCTGGGCGTCATGAGCAGACAAGCTATTCCTTACTTAAAAACAAAACTCTGGCTCTAACAGTTAATTAGTTTGTCATCTTTGGTTATCACGAGATGCACAGATGGCGTATTATAGATGGCAGCGTTGGTTCAGCATGATGGACAATGCATGGAGGAATGACACGCAACGTTCATTTCCATAATGACCAAAATGAGCCAGCAGCAGGAGTGCATGGAAAGGATCTGGACATTGCAGGAATCTTTGAGCTCATTTAATACAGCTCAGTGTTCTCCTGATATATTTTGTCAGTGTCACATTGCCAGGAAATGAATCGCTTTATGAATCCTCCCCTACATACGTGGTACTCATCTTGAAGGCTTAAATCAGGTGTGATCATATTAACCAGAAACTCATTTTCAAGTTCTCACTAATTTCTCCTATGATCTCAGAAAACGAAAGATTTCTAATGATGAATCATCTCATTATCTCGAGAAATCAGCCTTTTGTTTTCTCAGGATAAATTAACTTGTGATTTTGAGATAACAATGTTTAAAAAATGTAATTGCGAGCACGACCGTTCTGGGGTTCCGTACAACACAGAGGTCTATCGGCTTGAATTTGAAATCATATAAATCGTCTGAAAAAAAGGTTTATTTTGTTTTATATATAGTGCCGTTATTATAATACATGATGTGCAGAAGAGGTGGTGAATAAAGTAGAAGTAGAATGTGCATGCAGGATTATCATATCACCACTAGAGGGAGCCCGGGCTCCTTCAGGGCATGACTAACCCTTTGCCAACAAAAACCACTGACAGTAGTAGATTCCCTAACTTTAGAACGTCTGCACTGTTTTATCTTTAGTTTTAAAATTATGTATCTGGATGAGTTGGAGAAGATTGGATGGAAGCAGAGGGATAAAGAATCACTTTTACGTTTACGTTTTAACGTTTTTATGTAACATACAGTTTGCTTTATGACTTATTATACCATCAGTTGTTACTTCATAGCTCTTCTTGTTCTTGGTGGTTCTGTTTTATATCTTCTAATTTAAATACTAATAAAATATAGTTAACAGGCCCGGAACAAGCTTTGTTTAGGAAAACACGGCAGCCTGCAGGTTGTGCTCATTAGTGTCTTCGCAAGGCAACGAAGGCGATTATGTTGGATTGATATGGAGATAAAATAATATCCACATTCATTTAGACCTCTAAATAACTGTTAAGAGTTGGTTAAAACTGGGTTCATTGGAAATCTCTTGTGTCCTCTTTGGACTTGTTGCAAACAGTTTCCTGTGGTTTGGTCTTTGTGTTGATGATCCTCTCTCTCTCTCTCTCTCTCTCTCTGTCTCTCTCTTTACTCAGTTGGTTGATAGCCATTCTGGCCCAAACCAACCCTCTGTTCGGCCCTCAGCTGAAGAATGAAACTATATGGTATCTGCGCTACTTCTGGGAGTAAACAAGGTGAGTTTGTCAGGAGAAAACTTGAACCAGATGCTCACTGACATGTTATGAATACATATTATGATATCAAAATACTATGTAAACTGAAATGTAATTTAAAATAAGTTTTGCATTAGCAGTAATATTTTGTTTCAATATCAGCATCTTATGTAGGCACATAGCCTGCGCATGAATGTGTGTGCGTGATGGGTTATGAGCTAAAATGTGACAATAAGTGGAGAGAAAAATATTTGTTTAAAAACACTGGAAAAGTGGGTTTCGAACAGGAACTAATGGGAAAGGAAGTGTAGACCAGGAGGACCCCTTTCCACCAAATAGGCTCTGGTTCTTGAACTGGTTCTGTTCAGGATTTTAACAACAGGGGACAATAAATGATACATTTATTAGAATAAACCTGCATGAACTGTCCGTAGCTGAATTAACATTGGTCATAAAGGTGGTGCTAGGAGAGAGAGGTGGTACACGGTCACTGGTCTGGGTCCACAATACATTTACAAACATATAAAGATTGAATAGAATATTTCATGCAGTATTATGCCCCTAAAATACACAGAGGGCTCAACAGATCTCCCCCTGCACCCACACATGAAGCACGGCTCTCTAAAGCGAGTTTGTTTGACTTTGAATACATTTTATTAAGTTCATTGTGTAAAAGTTACAACACCCATCCACTAGCTCTCTGGCTCCACAGACTTTTTAATTGATTAACTCCAGCTGAGAGCTGCTTCAACACTTCAACATTAACGCGTGATAATTTCCCCTTAGAGTAAAGAGTTTCAAAATATGATATATATTTATTAGAATATGATGCTATATCATCTTCATATTGCTTTTTATGCAAACCTATGCAAATTGCCAATTCATGCAAATGTAGTCATACTTAAAAATAAAGATTTGCCTATAAATGATCCACATTAGAAAACCGAATGTAATGTTGTTTAATCAAAACCAGGCCTGTACTTTGAATTATGATTAAACAGCATTAAGTGCAACAGTCTTAATGCATCTGAAGAGAGCTTTTGGCACACTTCACCATGTATATGGATACATGTATATATGCTGGTTTTTAAGATGAGCGTCTGACTAAAGTAGGACTTATTGCTGTTTCACTGCTAGTTGGTAGTGAGAAGAAACATGGAAAGATTTGAAAGAAAATGAGAACATTATACTTTTGTATATTTTCTTTTCTGCCGGCTTCTTTGTGCCAACAGTTTTTGATCCTTCAGGCTGCGTTCTGTACTTTTGCATGTTTGCAAATCAAAAACCATTTCATCTTTTTCTCTCAGAACGCAGTGGCGGGGGGAGAGAAAAACCCTGCCACTAAACTGCCTACAGTGACAGAAGTGGCATTCATGCGTGAATATTTATCAACTGCATGAAAAAAAAATGAGCTGGGTAAAATTCCAAAACCGTTTCTGATATTTCAAAGGCATGTTTGCTCTGAGCCACTCGTGCTCATGGACCATGCTGCTCTCTGAATTACTGAGCTGTTTCGCATTTTGCTAAGACCCTCAGAGTCATTAATCCTGAATGTAAGCAATGTCCATGATTGAGGAAATTGTTGAAATCAGTTTTTCTCTCTGTTCCAGGACTGTGTGACATGATGCCGCTCATCATTCCGCTCCCGTGGTTGGCTGGACTTTCTTTCAACGTAACACTTTACTATTAAACATTCCCACACACACAATCTGCAGAAACGATGACACAACAACCGAAAAAGGCAATTTTGACAATTATGTACAGTCCCTGGAATTTAAGTTTATTAAGACGTGGGTTTTAAAACAAGGAGGAGCCACCCCCACAACACACACAGTTGAAGTTGTGACTTTGACAGGATTCGTGAACAAAAGCGTTGAGTGTTTTCATGTCTGTTACCGAGAAGAATGATTTCCAGTGAAACCGTAAAGTCATCCGTTAGGAGCAGATATTAATCTTCCATCACTGAAATGTGCAATCCTTAAGATCCTTTAGTTTATTTTTGTGTTGTTTACATTTTTGGTTTTGCTGCCATCAGGGAACATGAATTTTCTAAGTGTTTGTATTTATTTGGCCTGCAGGCACTGATGTAAGCGCATTGTAATTACCTCAGTGTCCACACGGTCTTGTTATATAACTGTTATTATCTGTGATGTAATGGTGTGTGTGTGAGTGTGAGTGCGTGTGAGTGTGTGTGAAGAGTTCATTACTGTGAGTGCTTGGACCGCCGCCATGAGAATCTCCCAAAACCGTAAAAAGAAAAAAAAAAAGTGAAGAGCGATTCCCTCCCACTTTAGACTACTTCAGCATGAAACTCCCTCCCACGTTCCCCTCATGCTCTACACCGCGGAGGTCCTCGTTGCCATGGTGATCTCATCGCCCAATTCAGTCCCTCTCCACTCGACCCCTTTTGATGAAATCCTGCCCATTCTCGCCTCGCTTGTGTACAGATGTACTGTAGGTTGTACTGTAGGGACATGCTTTTTGGATCCAAGCGTCTGGTAGCTGCTGATAGATTTGGTGATAATTTCCACCATCTTAAAAATTTCATCCCAACCCCCCCAAAAAAAATCATTTTCAGGCATTTACATCAGATTCCTTTCTTTTAAACTTCAGCTAATTAATTCTCTCGGAGGTTTAGGGGCGCTTCGAGTGACCCTCACATCTTTTCAGTAGCAGATGAAAAAAGTATATTTAACAAAAGGAAGTGTTATTTTATTGCACATAGACATTTTCAGACAGGGTAATCTGTTAGAAACCCTACAAAAATCCTATAAGTGATCGATGCCTCTGACTGGCTGATGTTGGATATTTAGACAAAGTGCAGTGCAGTTAGAAAATAAGGAATACTTGGTTTTCAAAAGACAACTTATCTAATTTACTGTTTAAATCAAGTTGCTGAATGAGACTAATCATTGCAGTTAATAGTTGCACATCACCCACTAGGGGTCGCCAGGGCTTAACGGGGGGCTCACGTGGCCTTCTTGATTTTAATCAGTGGGGTAAAAACAACAGAAATCTAAACACCATAGCACTAGAGTGAATAAAAGGATAGAAAAAACCAGAAGGCAAGACTATAAAAGTGTGTTTTAAGAAGAGACTCAAATTGTTAAAGTGTGTAAGAAAATCTTTTTTTTAAATACAGTACTAATTGTAGGCAGAGTGCACATGTTAATCTGTACACATGCATTTGAGTACGGAGCAAGTTACTGTGCGGTAACACCATCAGTAGCCGGAACAGTCAGTCACCAGAAGTCCAGAGGTCGAGGTTTATTTCTGTTGACTGTGGTCTCCTCTCTCAGTGCAGGATAATGATCGCTGATGACCAATCAGACGCCGGCGTTTCTTGACGTTCTCTGTGCAATACCAGCTAGCATAAATAAGTCAAGCCGAGAGACAGCAGCAGCCTGAAGACTAACAGTGAACCGATAAGGTCTTCAAGCTCAGAGGAAGTCACCAACATCATAAAACTTTGTTGTTATTCTTGGCTACGTACATCTGCATAACAGCGTATATATTGTGTTCCTGACTTACATAACTTCTCAACGCCTCAGAAAGGTTGCCAATTTTCATAATTTTTAACTTTTAAAAAAACATTTGCTTTGAATATGATGATGGTGCCTCCTCCTGATGCTTGAAGAGTCTGAGCTGCCAGCCACTACCACAACTATGTCTCCTCTTTCCACTTCCCAATTCCAACCCTGAGAACCCCTACCTCCCTTCCTCCCTCCCTCCTTCCTTCCTTAACACTGTCCCTCCCCGCCCTCCTCTCTAAAACTACTTTGCTTCAGCCAAAAAGAATCAAAATCAATATACAGCTACTTTTTAGAAAGACCAAATTGCGTTGTATCTTTTCCTCCAGCCCTCTTTGTAGTTGTGGTGGTGGCACGCATCTAAATGATACATTTCAGTGTGCTAGGGGTTAGGGGCCTACTTAAAATAGAGTGCGATCACACCTGATCACACCCAACAAAGTGAGGCTCTCCTCGTCAGAACGCTAGTGTTCAGTTTCACTCCGTGCTGCGCTCCAAGTGAACCAGAGCTTGTAAACAAAAGCCACATGGACTCACAAGTCGCTCGGTTATTGGACTGGAGCTTTGGTCAACCTGCCAAAGATAAGAGATGTTGGTGCTGGTGGAGAGTCAAAATAAATCTGTCACCTGTAACCTCAGCTTTGTGGTGTGTTTAAGTCTCTGGTGTTCATACCAGTTAAGTGCACATGAAGGGGGAAAAAAAGCTGAATACGAGCATCAGTCCAGACTGCGGTTTGCTCTCACTTCATTTTCTTCTGTCGGGCTTTCCAACCATTAACTGCTGGCTATCATGTGTGCCCATAAACCCTCGTGTTTCGGGTTTGTTTCCGTCATTGGTTTGGATTACATTCCCAATCCCACTCATAACGAGACGTGCCACAGTGAGCTTGCAAGAGGACACAGTCACATTTCGGGCGTCTGTGAGTCATCGGGCAACAAATGGCGTCCGGACGAAAAAACTGAACTAAAGTAACAGACGCTCCACACTTCAGATAAACCCCTCCAAACATGCTGTGTGTGAACTGGCCCTAAACATGACAAAATCCTTGGGTTTCTTTTCCTTCTTTTAGGAATCAGTTCAGCTCTTTTGATAACTGGCTGCTGCCTATCTGTTAAATATTCCTGGCAACATTGGATGGAAATAGAGATGGATTTTTGTGTGTGTGTGTGTGTATGAGGAGTCGCCATGGTTACAAAAATCTACTAAATTGCAGATCTGATTATTGGTGAAGATGAGATCCTATGTGTGACCTTGTATTAGTGTGAAGTAACTGCTTCTATGTGAGTGACGTTGTATGTGAAACACCCAGTAAAAGGCTATATGTGTAATACAGTCCTGCTGCTCTGTTGATGTTATTGACATTCCTCACTGGCGTACACACCTAAATGATTCTCCTAGAGACCTAGATTCTCTGCGTGCTTTCCAAATACCTGAACTTAACCCTCATACAAACCTAATCTCATCTCACAAGGATACAGTAACACACGTGCATGTTAAAGCTGCAAAGAAGAAAATAGATATGTACGTCCACCTTCCTGTAGTGCATCTGCCGATGTTGTTTCGCTGCCTGTGACACGGAGGGGGCCCCCGGTGATAGACCGAGGCAGTTGGTTGAAGTTACCTTGGCAATCAAGGACGAGGTTGACTCTCACACAGGATTCTCACAATGGCACATGGAGGCACGCATGCATGACTCACACACAATAATTTCAGTCACCTCATCTGTCAGGTGCAGGTATTATGCTGGAAGAGGACCTCAAAATACACCTCCGCACAACGCAATGTTAAAGATTTTTTTAGTATTTAAATATTTAACCCCTTGTTTAGAAATCAGCAATGTACAATGGGAAGAAGAGCTGGCAAGTGAAATACTAAAAGGGCAGATACATTTGCCTGCCAAGATTGCTTTTAAAGCTGAAACCCAATTGAGCTGATAATTTGAGCAAATATTCATCAACATATTTGACTTGTTTTTATCAGAAAATACAACAAGGATTCAGTTTCTTCTAGACCTTTATCAGAGCTGAAAAACAAGGTACTCACTAAAACTGTTTGGTACATTTAAATAAAAAAACTGGTTGCGCACAGTGGATGAATGGATACCTAGCTGCAAATATACAACTCCTCTCTGTGATAAAGATGAACAGCACTAACCTACTGCTGTTTAATATTCAACACGCATGTGTCATTGATGCACAGATCATTTTGTCCAAATGCACAGCTTCAGTTCTGGACCACTTCCAGCCCAACCAGAAGTCCTAAAAGCAAAAGAGTAACAGCAGAAACTCAGACCTACTGAGGAAAAGACATTAATGTTCACCATCCACAGCAGGAGTCTCAAACTCAGATTGGCTTGGGGCCACTGTTGGTATTGTAAGAGGTCCACTTAAACATTCAAGTACTACCTTTAACCTTTATTTTTCACCAAACTAAATACATTTTTAAAATAGAATTGTTTTTATTTTAGTTGTATATTAAGCGGCTAGTTTCAATTGATAATCAAACAATTAGGAAAAAGGGGGCAGTTTGAGGCCCACGCATCTACCGGCAAAGAAAGTCATAGCTGCTGCCATTTTGACCCTTGTGCCAACTGCAGGCAATGAGTGTTAATTGGCCAGTATGCTTCTACTAAACTGCTTGTCAGATGGTTGAATAGCAAATTTGTGTTTGACATTATATTTTACATGTTACACCTGCAAAACTAATGCTGTAAGTCTCACTGTAAGTATCCTGGAGATAACTAGGTGTTATGATGCAGAGGCAATGTATCTTTAATCCACAGGAAGACAAAATAGTGATTTTATATTAGGTCTAAACCTTAGCTGTTTCCTTAAAACATTTGTTTTATCACAGTGGTAAATTAAATAAATGTTCAAGCACAGTCAGCAACCCCTGAATACGGTTCAGAAACAAACACAACATGTTCAATGTGTGCAATTATTAATATTTACTGGTGCAGAAATGTAGCGTGATGTGCTCGCAGACTCAGCACTGGGTTCTGATTAAGTTCTATAAAATCTATCTCATTTTGTTACCACCTAGGAGGACAAGCATTCATGTATAATTCACAGCTGTAAATAAATGAGTGGTGGTGCGGCGCTGCGGTCTCATTATGGCTGCAGATTAATGAGTAAACAGCCCATGAAATCAACAGGACTATTCTGAAAAAAGCTGCAGCGCTTTTGTGGCTGACTAACCAACTGACCTTTCTCACAGCACCCATTTTGACATGTAGTCGTAGGGTAAACACAGGCGTAACCAGTGATACTAATTACGGTTCAGTTCCATTCAGGTCAAACAGAGTCAGGGTGCTGCTTTTATTCATGTTTGCTTACTAGAACAGCTCTGCTACACTAAATGGAACAGAACCTTAATTAACACCTATGTTTACCCTATTACTTCATGTCAAAATGGCTGCTCTGAAAAACGTCTGCTGAGAAAGAAAGCTACAGGAGTGAGGACCAGAGGCGGATATAGATGGGTGACATGGTGTGGCAGCATCGACAGAATATTAAGCTATAAAAAGATGGTTTCACATCATGATTGACAGCTGGCGCCAACCCCGAAACGCAGACTCTGGCTCCGAGTGGCGAAAGATGGGAGCGGCCATATGCAGGATATTTCTGCTTCATTTTTCTATAATAGAAGTAAAGTCCATCTTTTATGTGTCGAAGATTCATTTTTAATTTAACACATATAATTTAATATATATAATATTTTAGACAAAGTGACAGGTTTAAGTTTAATGAAAAAAGACATTTGGAAACATTTCTGAAGATTTGGAAATAGAACAGTTTATTGATTTCTAATGCCACCTTTAGATATTTCCATTCAGTATGTATGTAAATGTAATTTTGAGTCTTCATTTGGGGGCTTTTCCAAGCAAATGTTGATGTAGGTGAATATTTGCAATTACATCAAAATATATATATATATATTTCTGCCACCCTCTAGACACCCTGTGAATAATTCTTTAGATCCGCCCCTGGTGAGGACACTAATTATGTTCAGTGTGCTTCTCCTCAAGCACTACACAGAGCTCACTTCACTTACCAAAAATGGTGGCATTGTCCCTGTAAGTATGATATATCCAAGCTCCGGCCTACATTTCTGTTTAAACAGATTAAAGCTGAATTAATGCACATTATTAAGGCCACACACACACACACACACACACACACACAGCCTACAGGCCTACACATACAGGCTTTAACCGACAGACAGATAAACACAAACACCCCACAGCTTATCCTCTGTAATATTCATCAAATGTGGCTTAATGTGTTCATGCGCCATGGCAACCTACTTTTCTCCATTAAGATTTAACAATCTTTATGCAAACAGCTATATGAGCTGTCCTAAATAACACTTGCTGTGTTATAGAGCGTTGCTTCTCTTCATCACAGTTGAAATTATTTTTGTCTTTCCTCCTCATTGTCTGCAATGTAGAAATTAAATTGTACTTCCTACAAATACCTGCTGGCTGTTCTGATAGATGCCACCGTATCAGGAACTCCTCATATAGAATTTATTTGTAAGAAGTTACAGCAGCGTGTTTACTTCCTTCGTAGACTCTATCTTTCGGAGCCAGTAGCCAGGTTATTTTTAATTCAGTGTCATGCTGTGCTGCAGCACGGTCTGGCTCAGCTGTGAAACTTAAAGCTAAACAATATAATCAAATCCAAATTTGAGCGGAGATTATTGGCCAACCTGTGGCACACTCCTTTCAAGCAACTCACAGCAAGCATGCTCGGACTTGCTTTTGAACAGAGAATACCAACTTCTGCCCTCCAAGAGGCAATAAGTTCCTCCATTTAAACACAACGGGCTGAAGATTTCTTTTATACACCAGTCAATCCTGTTGCTGAACCAAAATCAGTGTGCTGCTAACTGAGATCTGAATCCAGAGGATATGGTGTGATATTTATAAGGATGTTTGATGGTTTATACATCTGTGGGAAGTGTCATACTGTATGTTCAATCTCTGTGTGTATATTTCTTGAACGAAACTGCCCATGGGTGCAAAATGAATTTCAGTGTAAACTGACAATAAAGTGGGAGCAGCTGCGAGCACGATGATGCAGCTTTTAATCTCTCAATTTCCAAGTATACTGTAAAGTAGAGCCTGACAGATGCAGGGTTTTTAAAGCTGGTGTTTTATAATTAAAAATAACCCAGTCATAATATATTATTTTTTCTGATATGGATACCTTAAATTTGGTTATTAGAGGGTTGTGACTAAGATATCTTCTGAGCAATATATTTAACGTAACAGCAAATATAACTTAGTATATTATAAATCACAACAATGAGTGGGTCATAAAATAATCTAAAATGATTTATATTTTCATATCGTGATATCAATATTTAATGGCATATAGTATTTTTGAGTAACTGCAAATTAAAAATCCAGTATTCCCGTGGAGCTTAAAGTTCTCAGACATGGAGCAGTTTTAAATTAATACAATACTTAAAGCTGAAACTTTTATAAACTTTTTGTCCTTATTGCTGAAAGGTTCACTATATCCTGACAGTTGAACATGAGACAGACAATGTGTAAAAAGATCAGCTTCCTCTGGCTCGTCCTAGTGCTCCTAACGACATTTGCAAGAATCCGCCGGGCCCGAATGAAAAAACAACCAATCAGAGTGGAGAAAGATTTAAAGACCTGATAGTTGATTGCTGTGTCTCATTCCCAGGTTGTCAAATACAATCTATAGTTAGGATATAGTGAATGTTTCAGCAAATATTACCTACTGCAGCTTTAATTCAATACAATGTACAGATTCCCTCCAGGACAACTTTTTTTAGGCTTGCAAATATTTTCTTGCTTCATAAAATTAAGAAGAAATCTGAACTTTCTTTACTACATTAAATAACAATAACAATAAAATGAATTCAAACTAACTAAAGTGAGCCCATACTGGATGATGTAAAGCAGTGATTCCCAGCCTGCGGGTCCCACTAGGGGTCGCCAAGGTTCCACAGGAGGTCGCAAGGCCTTCTTGATTTTTAAGGGGTGTAAGAAAACATTAAAAATATACTCAGCAGGCCTCTGTCTCAGCATTTCATTTATTCCTGTGAAGAAAACTACATGTAATTGTTTGGTTTTTTTAAGTTTATCTCTGCTGAACAGCTTTGTCCTCCATTAGAAAAACAAGCAGTTAAAATAACCAAAAAGCTAATAGAACAACGGTCAAGTGTCAGGAAGAAGAAAACACTGAACACTGAATTTGACCCTGATAAAACTCTATTTAGTACGTATGACAGAGGATTGTATAAAAAAAGTTTCTAAAACTATCACATAAAATCACAATAATAATCTAAAAATAAAGCTCAAAATTAATTTAATTGCTCGTTTTACACAAACTTCCCACATTTATTGTGTTTACTATTTGGGTTCATTGTGCAGTTGAGTATAATATGCAGTACTATAATATGAAACAGCCATAAAATATGTCACTTAGTCAGTGGTCGAAGGTTTACTTAATGTATTAGAGCACAATCAGTGGTAGATTTCCTTGAGGTATATGAGGGGATATTTTATTCTGAAAATCCATACATTAAATCTCTCTCCCTCTGTGTGAAAAACAGAATGTTCACATGATGGTATCTGGTGCCTCACACTTTAGTTGTGTAGGAAACATCTGCTTATGTTATGTGTAGGTAAAAAGACAGCTATGTTCATAACAGGAAATTCTGTCAGTTTTGTAGCCTATAGGATGTTTACAGGCTGGTATATAAGGGCTGAACGAGAGAGAGAGGTAGGAGAATTCAGCCAGAAGATGCATCTGAAACTCACTTGTTTTTGTTTAATAAAGTCCTAAATCAAAGCAAGAAGAGGGGCGGACCTTTTCTTATTCAGTCATCCACAGACCAACTAATGGCAGCCACGAAAATACACCACAACCCCCTTTTCTATCATTGAGTAAACTGACTATGTGACATATTTTACGGATATTTCTATTTCTATTCAAAACTGTACAATGAACCCAAATAGTGAACTCAGCAACTGCAGGAAGTTTGTGTAAAACAAGTGATTTGGATGAATTTTGAGCCGATTATTTCCTGTTTAGGGAACTTTTATAAAATTGTCTGTTATATGTATTTTATTTATCATTATATACAATCAAACATACTTCTTTTATGACAAATTCAGTGTTTTCTCGTCCCTGGCCCTTCGCCATTGTTCTATTAGATCATTCATTTAACAGTTTACTTTACTTTACATTTACTTTTCTACACAGAAGAACCAAATGCTGAGAAATAGGCTGACTATGTAAACTTTTCTTACATGCTTAGCGACCCAGCCGATGAAGCTTTGGCGACCTCCAATGGGGGTCTCGACCCACAGGTTGGGAACCACGGCTCAAATATAAATAAACATTTTAAATTCTACATTTTTCATTGTTTTAAACTGAGTTGTCAGTTCATAGGTGCAATGAACATTCAGTTTCTGGTGTGTTCATTTACTCTAAGCTGTAGTTTGTGGTGGTTGAAGTTTTGTGTTACACTGAGTGTTTCTAATATTTTGTCCACCCCATTAAAAAAAAAGAGACACATTCACCACTTTTATCCACTCAGAAGAAAACCAGCGGGCTCTACAGTGAGTCTGCAGAGGTAAGAGTGAGTTGCAGAGCGGTTGTTGGGCCGTAGTAAACCCGCTGCGGAGGCCGCCTGTCGGGGTCTGCTCCTCGGTCCAACGTGTCGGAAAGCAGCCGAAGTGGTTCCAGCGGGACTCTGCTGTGAAGCTGCCCGGGGACCTGCTCGGGTCAGCGGGTTCACAGCCCCAGTCCTCCCGGTGTCCTTAAAGACGGGTCGTGTGACCCCGCCCCTCTGACGACACCGTGTCGTAAACCATATCCGTTTTCACTGACTCCACTGACGTGAAGCTGCCAAGTGTCAACCAGCACTAAACCGGAAACACAGCTGTGCGCTTTTCATAATAAAAGCCCCACCAAAATGAACACAATTCTATTTTGGGTAGGTTAAAATGTAATCATGTAAGATCTAATTTGTTATCCCAACTGGAAACACTGTATGTTTTTGAATCCATGTGACAACTACACTTGTTCTGACATTTATTTGTTAAAGTTAAAGGTGTTAATTTTAAAGATTTTTTACAATGTGGTTAGTTATGTTTTAGCCTTTTTTGTGTACCATGTAGTAGCATATAGTTAAGCCATACAGGGATCATAATTATCTGCCCGAACCCGATTGGAGCCTACAGGGCCCGCTGGGTTCCTGAAACTGCTGCCGTAGGTCGGGCTCAGACAGAATAAGATTGTTTTTATATATATTTAATATTTTATTAATAATGCATGCAACTGTAATTAATGAGCTCACTGGTTATTTATTCATTTTGATATTTATTTATTTATTTATTTATTTATTTATTTATTTATTTATTTATTTATTTATTTATTTATTGTAAGCAGAAATTCAGGTCGG